CCTCCTCCTCCTCCTCCCTCCTCTCCTCCTCCTCCTCCTCCTCCCCTGGCCCCCTCCCCCCACCGCTAGAATGCCCATCATCGCCGAAGGGGGAAGGAGAAGATTTCTTCGAAGCACCCCTGCTTCTCAGAAGGCGGGGCGCTCGTCCGCAGTTGTGGGGCCGGCTGCTTAGCATCCCGGGCGCCCCCCCGAGGTCACAAGCGGCCGCCGCCCGGGGCGGGCTGCGAGGCGGCCGCGCCCCCCGCGGGGGGCGCCGAGGCCCGCGAGCCCGGGGGGGCTCCCCCTGCCTTCCTCGCCAGCCCCCTGCCTCCTCCTCCTCCTCCTCCTCCTCATCCTCCTCGTCCTCCTCCTCCTCCTCCTCCTCCTCCGCCTCCTCCTCCTTCTCCTCCCTCCTCCTCCTCCTCCTCCTCCTCCTCCTCCTCCTCCCTCCTCCTGCACTCCCCCCCCCGCCCCCTCCCCCTTCCCCTTCACCAGCCCCCTTCCTCCTCGTCCTCCCCGCTCCTGCTCCTGCCACATCCACTCCTCGGGCGAGGGAGCGGCGGCCTGGCCTGGAGCGGTCTCCGCCTTTCACAGGGCCTCCTGCCGATGCCTCCCAGATCCATCAGGCGATCGCAAGCATGGATCAAGGGGGCGTGGGCGACGGGCCCCGTTTCCATGGGAAATCCCGGATTTCCGCCGCCGAGCGAGGCGGCACCGGCCGCATTTGGGAGAGGGCACCTCCCCCGATCCATGGATTTGGCGATCGCGTGCCAAATCCATGGATCGCTGATCCATGTTTGCGCGCCCACGAGGGCGGCGGCCTGTCCTGAAGCCGTCTTCGCCCTTCGCAGGGCCTCCTGCCGATGCCTCCCAGATCCAGAGGAGGAAATGGTGCCCATGCCCAGACCACCTCGCGCTGCAAAAAAAAACACGGCAGAAGGTTTGTCGTTATGTGCGGCCTCCCCTGGGGCCCTTACCAGGCCTCGGGACCGTCAAAAAGGCTCAGGCAAAAAAAACTGCCCTGGTGAAGGGGTCCAGATCTCTGAGAGCCGACATTGCGAACAAAATCACCTCTTCGGGGGCCCGGGCACTGCTACCCTTCCGTCGTTTTTTGCTTTTTGGCCTCATGGGACACGCCATCGTCGCCACCGCTAGATCCGCCCCGAAATCCTGGTCAGAACGCACCCCAGGAGAGGCCCGGGGAGCAGCGGTATGGGTACCTTTTGGTTTTCCCGTCCGAGCTGATGGGGTCGGAGCATCGCCCCTCAACGCCGACGCATCGCCGATGCGGCTCGATGTGGAGCCCGATGCCCTCCACGCCGCCGTCGCCGATGCATCGTCGACGTCACCGGATGCATCGCCGATGAGTCGCGATCTTCCGACCCCATCTATGCGTATCCCATCTAGAAAGTATATATTCCCTGAAGCGGTTTTCGTCCTTGTTGGGGCCTCCTGGCCCCAGACCCCCTCGCGTTGCTAACAAAATCACGACGGAAGGGTTTTCACCATTGCTGGCCTCCAGGGGCTATTTTGCCGTGCCTCGTGGTCCTCAAGCAAAGCGTCGGGATGAGAAGCCAGCACTAGGGGGGTCCAGACCCCTGGGGGCCCGCGCATCGAAGTTACCCGAGACGCACCCAACCTGTTCTCCACACGAGGCGACTACTTTTAAGTTGGGCCTGTCCCTCTACAGGGGGAACATTCAGAAATAGTTAAAAAATAGTCTGGGGACTATTTATCGTCCAAAGTCCCCCTGTAGGGGGACAGGCCCGACCTAAGACTACTTCTATGAGCGCTCCATACAAAAAGAAGCATCGCGAGGTGTGCACGATCTGCGCTGCCCTGCTCTCCGCTGCGCCTCCCAGGTGCCCACGAAAGCGGCGACGGCTGCGCAGTTCGCAGCCCCCGTCGGCGCCGCGGGGTCCCAGTGGGATGCCCGCTGCCCTCGCCTCCGCTGTGCCGCTTCTCCCGGGCACCTGCGAAAGTGGCGACGGCGGCGCCATGTCGCAGCCCCCGATGGAGCCGCGATCCTGAAGGGATACCCGCTGCCCACACCTCCGCCGTGCAGCCCAGGAGCCCACGACCGTGGCGGCAGTTGCACAGATCGCAGGCTCCCAGTAGGAAAGGTACGAGCAAGAGGGAGGCAAGGAGGCACGAGGCATGAGGAGGGGGGAGGAGGAGGGGGAGGAGAAGGGTGGAGAGCACAGTGCTCTATTCGAAACGAGATCCCAGCACACTGGCGGGCTGGGAAAGATTGGAGCGCTGGATGTCTGACCCCCTCGCGTCGTGGTGCAAACACATGATGGAAGGCTGCTCTTCCCGAGCCTCCGCCTCTGGGGGGCCCTGCCGGGCCTCGGAGCCGTCAAAGAGCGGCTCGGGATCGAAAGCCACGAGGAGGAGGAGGAGGAGGAGGAGGAGGAGGAGGAGGAGGCGGGGGAGGAGGAGGAAGGGGAGGAGGAGGAGGAGGAGGAGGAGGAGGAGGAGGAGGAAAGCAAAAGAACGAGGAGGAGGAGGAGGAGGAGGAGGAGGAGGGAATGGGTCGAGATCTCTGTGGGCCGATGCTGTGACCGAAGCCGTGACGTCGGGGGTCTGGGTGTCCAGCGGCGTCTCCGCGGGAGCGGCCGCCTCAGGCCAGGACGGGCCCCCGGAGGGATGTTCGGGGACGGGTGGCGAAGGCCTGAATGTTGACGTCGGGCCTGTCCCTCTACAGGGGGAATATTCAGGAATAGTCAGAAAATAGTCTGGGGGGCATTTCTTGTGAGCATTTTGCGGCATCTTTTGAGCATCTGTGGAGCATTTTTATGTATCGTCCGAAATCCCCCTGTAGGGGGACAGGCCCGACCTAACCTTATGTACGGCCGGCGCCGCCGACCCGGAAGACGGCGACGACGAGGATGCTGAGGAGCAGGTGGCGGAGGACGCTACAGTCAACCCGCATAGTAAGGACGGGCAACCTTCCCAAGGGTACCCTTGCATCCTTGCCTCCTCGGTCCATCCTTGACCACTTTCGTCGGCCGCGCCCCGCTCGAAAAGCTTGGAGATGGGCGTCCAAGGCCCTTGCATCCTTATCGCGCATCCTTGCTATACTGGTTGACTGTATTTGGAGGGAGGAGAAGCGATACCAACACCACCAGGGGGCCCACCGCCAGCGAGGAGGTCCACGATGCCTCTCCGAGCTGGAGGCTGGGGGATGTCTCGAGCGAGAGGGGTGGGACCACACCACCAGGGATTTCCCCCTTGCCTCCTCGCATCTCCTCGCCTCGTTGGTGTTGGTGTCGCCTTTCCTTGCTCCCATGCATGGAGCAGGAGGGGCGAGGAGGAGGAGGAGGTGCGCGGCGGCCTCCTGGAAAGGGCCAGGATGGGGCCCTGAGGGATCCGGGGAGGGATCCTGACGACGGGGCGCGTGGCCCGGGCGGGGGAAGGCGTTGCTGCCTCGCGTTCGTTGTGTGGCCGCGCTCGAGCCTCACAGGCGGCCCGGATGAGCAGGTCGGCCCCGCCAGAGCAAGGGTACCCTCGTGTCCCATGTCTCGCGACCCACGCTTCCCATATTCCTGTGGCAGTGTGGCCCTCGGGAGGGTCTTGTGTCCTCTCGCGTGTCCTGTCCAGTCGAGTCCGACTGTGCTCCTTCGGGTTGGCCCAAAAGGGGGTCCAGCGACGAGGGGGTGGCGCAATAAGATGAGGTACTGTGTAGATATAAACATATAGACATACACATATATATATATATATGTATATACGTGGGACTGCAATACACATTGGGGCGTGCAGTACATGACATGTCGGGGCGCAAATGCATTGCTGCATTTTCGAGTGCAAGACACTACTTGCAACACAGTGCAATCTACACTTCTCCTGCGCAACACATGTGCAATACATTTGCCCCAGATGTATTGCACCACCCCCTTTCAGTTGAATCCCCTTTTTGTGTCACCCAAACTCCTGCGGGTCCACTCGGCGCTGGGGTATCGACAGACTCCCGCTGGGGTGCACGAAGCACTTCGTTGCAGACGTCCCTCGAATTCTCAGCCCCACCTGCTTTTCAGAAATCTGACCCTCAGGGGCAGAGTTCACAGATGCCTGCCTATCAGCGGCGCGACGCAGAAACACGGGGTCGTCTTCACCGACTCTGGCGCGTAAGCTGCCCGCGCGGAAGGCCGCGCGTGAGCGCCATCTCTTCCGCACGGTGTGCCACGCTGGCGGCCAGCCCGCGCAAGCCACCGCGTGAGGTCGTTAGGATGGGGGCGTCGGTTAAGGAATGCGCCCAGGAGTTATGATGTTCCAACCTACTTTAGCCTTGATCACCAGAAAGAATTTCGAGCACCAGAAAAGTAATCAAAAACTCTAGGGTTTTCACGCGTCGGGACCTGGGAGACACTCGCCCGACACTGTTTCGACACTCTTTCGACATTTTTCCAGGTGCTCGAAATTGTTTCTGGGCTGTGGTCCTTAAGTACGACGGGAGCAACATAACCCAGGAGGTTTCTGTCCCTGGGGGATTCGTTGTCTGACGAGGGCGGCGGTGGCATCCATGGCCGATCCTCGAGTGGACTTCCCCCTCGCGCGGTCCATCAACAAGGAACAGTAAGCAGCAAGAAGCAGAACTGTAACAGTGGAAACTGGAAGCTGCAACCGGCACAGGAAACTGCGAAGCTTCGGCCTACAGCCTGGTGGCCCCACAAGGGGGCCGGCGGATCTGACGAGGGCGGCGGTGGCATCCATGGCCGATCCTCGAGTGGGCTTCCCCCGGCCTCCAGGTCCCGGCGCCCTTCTCCGGTGGTTCCTCCATCCAACGCCTTCACCGCATGCCGTCTCGCGGAAGCCCCGCTCCGCCTCGTCGCGCCACTGGCCTTAAATCGGGCCTGTCCCTCTACAGGGGGAATATTCAAAAATAGCCCAGAAATAGTCGGGGGATTATTTTTTGACCAGTTTGAAGCATTCTTGAATATTTTTCGGGTATTCTTGATTTTTCGTCCACAATCCCCCTGTAGGGGGACACGCCTGGCTTGACACTGGCCCTCCCCCGAGAGGCCGAGGAGGGCCCGCACCACGCGGCGGCGCTCTTCCGTCGGCGGGGCGCTGCAGAGGCGCCCGTGGGGCAGCACGTGCGGCACGCTCGCAAGTTGCTGCTGTCCAGCCGGGGGGCGCGCCAGTTCGAGTTCCACCCGACCCGTCCGGGCACCCTGCTCATCGGCAGGAGTCGGCACGAACGAAATGGGCACGGAAAGAATAGGTACGATGCCCAACAGCAGTTCTTGTTCATTCTGAACAGGATTCGCTGTCCGCGCCGCCGCGGCCTGTGTCCATTTGAGACCGAAGGCCGCCCGCCCAACAGCGGCCGCTGTTGGTTTGGGACAACATTTGTTGTTGGGCCTTATACCCACTTTTTCCGTACCCATTGTCGGGCGTCCAAAAGGAAGGACGGCGTCGTGACGGTGCTGGACGGCAGCACGGACACGTGGACGCACTCCGCCAAGGTTCGGAGGGAGGGCGGGCTGAGACGGCGGAGGGGCCTGCATGGGGCCGTGGCCTTCGTGGGGGCCCCGCCTCGCCACGGCTGCACGGCGGCACTCGCAATAGAGGAAAGGGCAGAAGCATCAACTTCTGGAGCTCCGCGCGGAGTTTTTGGATCCGCGCTGGACTCCCCTGACGGCGCCTCCGGCGCGGCTCCTGGCGAGTTCCACGCGCCAGGGAGGGGGCCCAGCTCCAATCCAATTTGCGCGGACGTTCAAACGTTTCTGTTTACGCAGGTTTTTGTGCCCCTGAGAACAGACACTTGAACGCATGTCGCGAAGGTTCAGAGGATGGCGACTTGAGACGACGGTAGTTGGCATTCGTGGGGCCCCCGCATCGCCACGGTTAGACGCAGCTCGGAACATGGGTACTTTTGGATCCCTGGTCCAGGGACTGATTTTGAGCTGCTGTTGTGTCAACTCGCACCGCTCCGAAAAGGTCGACACCTTCCCAATTTTGGGCCTCTCGTGGCTGCGCACGAGCCCGCAGTGGGCGGTGGCCGGGGCTTCCCAGACTGGCACGACGTGCGTGCTGAGGTACGACGAGAGCAGGCCAGGTGGCCTGGAGATGAAGAACCTCACGCCCTTCGCCAAGCTGTCCTCCCTGTCCGTGAACTGCACAGACGACTTCCTCGTGACCAGCGGCTTCAGCGTCGACATGGCCCTCGACGATCTGGTGACAGGCATCGGGCGACGAGAAGTGTGCACGTGCACTGATCCTGACCAGGCCCAGCCTGGGCCTAGGATCGGTGCACCTGCCTCCCCGGCCGAGCCAGGAGGGCGCATGCACCGATCCTGGGCCTGTGCAAGTGGACCAGGCCAGGGTCGGTGCACGTGCACACTGTGCTGCTCTTTGCTTCAAGGCAAGCGCATCAGCACGTTCCGCGGGCTCCACCAGAACTTCATCAACATCGTGCGCTTCGCGCACCGCTCGCCCCACGTGTTCGCGACCTGCTCCTTCGACCACACGTGCAAGCTGTGGGACCTCCGCGAGCCGATCGCGGCGACCAGGCCCGCGAGGTCCTTTGGCACGCCCACGCTGAACGTCATGTGCAGCTTCTCCCCGGACGACCAGCACCTCCTGTGCTCCGGCGTGGACTCGGCGCTCCTGCAGTTCCCCGTCGGCGGCTCGAGCCCGCTGCCCGGCCCCGGCGCAGAGCCCGTGGGGAGCCGCTTCCCGGTCCCTGCGCAGAATCTCGACATGAACTACCGGCGCTCGAGGGAAGCGAAGCACGATGGCCATGGCTAGGGTTCGAAGGAGAAAGAACCACATGAACATACACTTGTGGCGCTCCGCGCGGGTTTCTTGGATCCGCGCTGGGCCCCCCTTGGCGGCAACCCCGGCGCCGCCCCTGGCGCGCTCCGCGCGCCAGGGAGGGGGGTCCAGCGCGGATCCAAGAAATCCGCGCGGAGCGCCAAAAGTTTATGTTTACGTGGCTACTTCTTCTTCTTCAATCGATGGTGCGGGATCTTGTCGGCGCCGATCCTAGTCATGGCCCATGACGGCCGTCGCCGGTTCGCGAGGATGACGCACGATTGGATTGTGGCCAAGATGGACGATGACTCACCGGGCGCGTTCCACTACTCGCAAAGTGCCTACTCGCAAACGCCCGAAAAACACATGCCTGCTTCAATGTAATGTATCGTAGATCCCCCGCGGTGGATCCAGGCCATTTGCGAGTAGCTACTTTGCGAGTGTTGGAACGCGCTCGTCGAATGACGGCCACGATCGACGCGGGCGTTTCTGGGTTCAAGTCTCGGTCCTTGTCATCGTTTTCTCTCCCGTCAGGCGCTCCCTGTATCTGGCCGACGGGGCCGTCGTCGCCACCGCGGCCACCAACGAGAGCTTGCTGCGGTTCTACTCGCAGGAGGCGGGGGGGGGGCGTTGCGGCCCGCTCGGCCCCGCCCGATGTATCGGTGCTGGCCAGGTCCGATTGGATTCCGATATACTCCAGCGATCCGATGCGGCCCCAGCCCGACTCGATCTCGACCCCGTCCCGGTGCGGCCCAATCTCATGTACACGTTTCACCAGCAGCGACGGAGCCCAATCACACGACACGACAGGACGAACGACGAAGACGACGAGAGGTGGCCCAGAGCGGAAGGGTCGGATACAGACAGGACCCCGGGTAAGGGGAGCCGGTTAGTGATTGGGCCCCGAAGTAAAAAAATATGTTGACCAGCATCATTCAATCAAAATTGCCATCGCCGGTGTTTCTTCGGGTGACGGCACTTTTGGTTCATGGAGTGGGGCGGGGGGGCGCCGCCCGGTACACATCACTAAATTGATGATGTTCCAACCTATTTTAGCCTTATCACCAGGAAGAATTTCGAGCACCAAAACAGTACCGAAACTCCAGGGTTTTGACGTGTCGGGCCCCGGGAGACACTCGCCCGACATTATTTCGACATTGCTTCGACACACCTTGTCGACACTTCCCCGAGTGCTCGAGATTATTTCTGGGATGTGGTCCTCAAGTACGATGAGAATAACACAGCCCAGGAGGCTTCTGTCCCTGGGGGGTTCGTTATCTGACGAGGGCGGCGGTGGCATCCATGGCCGCTCCTCGAGTGGACTTCCCCTGGCCTCCAGGTCCCGGCGCCCTTCTCCGGTGGTTCCTCCATCCAACGCCTTCACCGCATGCCGTCTCGCGGAAGCCCCGCTCCGCCTCGTCGCGCCCTTGGCCTCGTGCCCCACTGAACACCGAGCCAGGTCCCACTGAAACCCAGCCCACCCGGCACCCGAAGGGGGGGGGGGGGGGGCGAGAGGGGGGCGGAGGACCGAGGGCCCGCCGGGGCCCGCCCGCGCCCAGCGCGGCCCCGCTTGGCCCCAGCGGCCCCGCGGGCGCGCCGCCGCCGTGGCCCGAGCGAGCCCCTGCGCAGTCCGGTTCGACCAGGCTTCGACGACGTACGGCAAGAGCCTTCGTTCAGGAACGTGCCCGAGAGTCAGAGGGAGGGAAAGGTACCCATGCCTCTGCCCGCTCCTCGTTTCCCCCTTCTGGGGGCCTCCTCGGCGGCCCTCGTCGCCACCGCCGCATTCGCCTCGAAGTTCTGGTCAGAACGCACCCCGGCAGAGGTCTGGGGAGTAGCGGCATCGGTACCCTGTGGTTTCCCCAGAGAGGTTTCAGATCCTGGAGGATTCCTTGTCCGATGCGGGGGCGGTGATCCATGGCCAAGCCTCAACGATTGGTGTTGCTCCAGTTTCCTGACCCTTGGTTCCTTATCTTTGGAGTCCCGAACCGGTGCGGTGACAGACCGTGCGGTGACCTCGAAATCCCCCAAGACCTCACCGCAAAATCCGTCACCGCACGGTCTTGAGACCCCGGAGGCCCCTGTCGCCCGAAACATCCTCGGAGAACGACGCGAGTTCCAAAACCGTGCGGTGACCCCGAATCCCCACCGACTCACCGCTCGGTGTGGTCATCGCCCCGTTTGGGGGCCCCCGATTATCTAGGGGTTCCTTATCCAACGCCCTCACCGTAGGCATGAGCCTTCGGAGGTCCGCGCGAATTTCCTGGATCGGCGCTGGACGCTCCTCCTCGGCGCACACGCGCAAGGGGCGGCCTCTGGAGGCGCCGCCCCGGGGGGGGGGGGGCCCAGGCGCCGATAGAGAGGTCCGCACGGACCATCGAAAGTCCAGGTGTGTGCCCTTCTTGCCGCGGGGCGACCTCTCGAGCTAGTAAAAAAAAAAAGTGTGCCCTTCTGTGCTCCTCGACGGTTGCCCGATGCGATCCTTACCTCATGGGCAACGCCAGGGGGGGACAGGCTCAGGGGGGAGGCATCGACCCCCGATCGCCCACTCATCGCCGACAGGGGCCCGATGGTGCACCCCGCCCAGGAAGGTGCACATCCGCTATCGGGGGCCGATCGCCGATCTGTCGGCGATGTATCGCCTGTTTCAGATCGACGCTTCTCCCCCTTGGCCAGTCCGCCCTGTCCCTGCCCCCACGAACGATCCCTGGGAGGCGCCGCACAGGCACCTGGGCATCATCGACTTCAGGCACTCCCTGCGCGGCCGCGGAGGAGGAGGAGGAGGAGGAGGAGGAGGAGGAGGAGGAGGAGGAGGAGGAGGAGGAGGAGGAGGAGGAGGAGGTGGAGGTGGAGGTGGAGGAGGAGGAGGAGGAGGAGAGGAGGAGGAGGAGGAGGAGGAGAGGAGGAGGGGGGGGCACTTGGGCCTTATCGACCTCAGGCACTCTCTGCGCGGCCACGGCGGCAGCCGCACGGTTACCCAGGAGGCGCCGACGGGCACCTCGGCCCCATCGCTGGGGGGCAGCCCGACGGCGGCGCGACCAGAGCGCGGCGGGCGCACGGACGCCGCCACCGCCAGGGCGGCGGCGCCGGCTGCTCAGGTCGAGGACTTAAAATTGCAGAAAGAGAACACATGTCCTTCCTCAGCCTCCTCCCTCCTCCTCCTCTATCCTGCCTCCTCTCTCCTCCTCCGTCCTCTCCTCCCTCCTCCTCCCTCCTCCTTCCTCTCCCCCTCCTCCTCCTCCTCCTCCTCCTCCTCCTCCTCCTCCTCCTCCTCCTCCTCCTCCTCCTCATCATCATCATCATCATCATCATCATCATCATCATCATCATCATCATCATCATCATCATCATCATCATCCTCCTGCCTCCTGCCACCTGCCTCCTCCCGCCTCCCTCATCCCTTCTGCTCTCTCATCTCCTGCTTCTCCCTCCTCCCTCCTTCCTCCTGCCTCCTCCCTCCTCCTCTCTCCTCTCCACCTCCTCCACCTCCTCCTCCTCCTCCTCCTCCCAGCCCGAAGAGGCTGTTGCGATGAGTACCCCTTGAGATGTTGCGTTCGGGAGGCCTGAGTTCCCTGAGAGCCTCCCCGTACCTTTCAGTCGCTTAGGTGGAGGTTACGGGCCCAAGTGCTCCACGCTTCCGCCCTGTGCGTGTTGAATAAAGTGCGGTGCGACTTCATGCTAACGCGGGCTTTGAAGGCCCGAGATGGGTCATAAAGTCCCGCAGCCTTGCCCGAGCAGTGCGTTGATTCAACCAGCAGCATGTGTTGTGGTTATTTCTCCCACTCACAGAGGTGGGCCCGTTAGCAGAGACAGCAGCTGCCCAGGTCTTGTTTGCTTGCTCCTCCTCCTCCTCCTCCTCCTACTCCTCCTCCTCATCCTTCTCCTACTCCTACTCCTACTCCTATTCCTCCTCCTACTCCTACTCCACCCCCTCCGTTTCCTCCCCCCCCCTATCCTCTTCCTCCGTCCACCCTCCTCCTCCCTCCTCCCCCCTCCCGTTGGCCCAATCCTCTCGTTTAGGTGACCCCCTGGGAGGCCCTGGGGCGCCAGAGAGAGACGCCCAGGGGGGCTCTCCCGCGGCTGCGCTCCGCACAGCGCCAGGTCAGGAGCGCCGCAGTCAGGTTTGGCCCGGCCTAGCAGGCCCCCGCCATGTGAGCGAGGACGCCCTTTCGTCTATGTACATCTCCCGTTGTTTTTGTTCTCTCTCTCTCTCTCGCTCTATACCTCTTCTCCGTCCCGTTCCCTCCCTCCTCCCCTCCTCCCTCCCGCCTGGGCCTCTCGGCGCCTGGGTGGTCTGTGCTGGACGGATGGGCATGGGTCGAGCTGGGAGTGTTTATCAGGGGGCGCCCTCGGAGAAGTCGTCCGTCGGCGTGGGACGAGGGGATTGCTTGTAGAGTTCTTGTTGCCCCAGATGCTCCTCCGCTGGAGGTTGAGTCCGCGCCAGTGGCCGAGCCGGCGCATGTCTGAAGAAGCGCCCACAACGGTCGTCCATTCGGCTCGGACAATTCGTTCGTCAATACGAAAGAGACGTCAACTCGACCCCAAGATTTCGTTCGAACAAACGAACGCAATCGTCAAATATGCTCCAACGTGTCGCTTGTCGAGACGAGGGGATCTGTCAACTCGGCTCTGGCACTCACTTCAGCCCTCAAGGCCGAACTCGTCGTCAGCCATCAGTTCGGCCCCGGCAGTGCGTTCGTCAAGACGGAGGGTGCGGCAAGGGGGGCCGCCAACGGCGTTCGTCAATTCGGAGGGAGACCGACAAGGGGGTTCGTCACCCCAGAGGGAGGCTGTCGAGGGGGCCCGTCAAGGGGGTTCGTCAACTCGGAAGGATGCTGCCCAGGGCGTTCTGTCAATCCCGAGAGGGACCGTCAAGGGGGTTCGTCACCCCAGAGGAAGGCTATCAAAGAGGTTTCGCCAACTCGCAAGGAGGCCGTCGAAAGAGAGAGTTGACGGCCAAATCTTTTTGGGTTGACGGCCCAAGCGCCAGACAGACTCTTGCAGGCAGGATGCATGCAGGGATCTCCTCGCCTGCTCCACATGGGACACGTCGGGGTTCATCCGCAGCTACATACGCTCCCAGAGTTCCCAGCTCTCCCTGGATGACCCGATCCCTCTTACCTCCATCCTCGGGGTGGCCCCCACTCCCTCTGTTGTCCTGGCCCCGCAGTTGCGTACTGCAGTCGCCTCCTCGGCCCTGCAACCCTCTGCCAACAGACCAGAGCCCGCGGGCCCAACATATTATCTTCATCGGGGGACACCTATGTACCAACCTACCTCCTCCCTCCTGCCTCCTCCCTCCCCCGCCAGCTGCTTATCTCGACAGACGGCTACGCCAGGCCTCGTCGTCTCCTTCGTCTCCTCACTTCCTCCTCCTTCTCCTCCTCCTCCTGCTCCTCCTCCTCCTCCTCCTCCTCCTCCTCCTCCTCCTCCTCCTCATCCCCTCCTCCTCCTCCTCCTCCTACTCCTCCTCCCCCTCCCCCCTCCTGCCTGCCACCTCCTCCCTCCTCCTCCCTCCTCCTCCCTCCTTTCCTTTCCTCTTCCTCCTCATCCTTCCTCCCCCCTCCTCCCCCCTCCTGCCTCCTCCCTACTCCTCTCTCCTCTCCTCCCTCCTCCTCAAAAACAGGGCCGGGGGCACCCGAGTGGGCCCCCATCCCCGTCACCGAGGGGGGCCCCCGGGCGATGGGAGTATGGTCCGGGCCAGATCCCTAGCCACGAAAAACGCCACCCAGCGGACACAGCCTCTTGTAGGACTGGCCCTGTGGCGCTCCGCCTCTGACTGTAAGTTTTAATTCATAACTAGATAAAGAAGGTGGCAGGGGCAGTCGCGAAGCTAGCGCCGTGGCGGGGGCGGCTCTGCAGGAAAAGGGAAGGGAAGGGGGGAGGGTTGGCGGTGGTGGTCGTAGGGGTCGGGCGGCTGGTCGTGGGTGAGGGTGTTGAAGATCGAAGTAGTGGTCGTAGTGGTGGTCGGACTGGTGGTGGCCGTGTTGGTAGCTGGGCGAGCTGGTAGTGGTCGTAGTGGTCGTGCTGGGGTGCCGGTAATCGAGGTGGCCGTGCTGGCGGTGGTCGCGCTTGTAGTCGGCCTGCTGGTAGTCGTTGTGATCGTGCCGGTGGTGGTCGTACTAGTGGTTGGTTGATGTGTGGGGGCGGTCAGCGATTTCATCACAAGGGCACATCGGATCATATCCGCGCTCCCTTGTTGCAGGGTGCTTGAGATGTCCTGCCATATCTGCCTCAGGAGTTCGGATCGATCGGCGTCCTCCAGGAAGGCGCCGTAGCTCCGAACGAAGCCCACTGCCTCGTCGGATGGCCGCCCACGCAGGAGCGCGTTTTTCCGTTGGAGCAGCATGGCCGGTGATTTGTTCTGCACGATTGCATTTCGGTCACGGAGGTAGTTATGGCGGGCGGTGCGGGACAGGCCCACCTCGCATGATTTGGCATTGACGCCGTGTGGGTCGAGGGGCTCTCCGCCCAGCGTGCCGTCGCGTCGCCGGTGGCAGCGTGACCCGGCGAGGCAGGCTGGCGCTCGCAGCCGGCACAGCGAGCTCGCCTCGACGTGGCCGTCTGGCTGCAGGAGGGTCTCCCGGCAGCTGCGGTCGGAGAAGCGTCCCTGCGCGCCAACGCTGCCGCAGCCACGGGACGCCGGCCAGTCGTGTCGTGGGGGGTCCCGCAGCAGTCGCTCCCTGGTTTCTCCGGAGGCCGCCCCGTTCCACGAGCCCTGGCGCTCAGCGCGGGCCTCTTGCAGACTATGTACGGGCCCCTGGTCGACGTACTGCCAGGCTGTCGCCCCGGAGGCCTGCAGCGCCTGCTCGGCTCGGGCGAGCGCCGGGAGGGTCCGCAGGCAGCGCGTCCGGGACCCCTCGGCGAGGAGGCACAGCGCCCAGCTCGCGGCGTAAGCTGCCGGAGCCGTCTGGGCGGCGGACGGAATGGCGCACCCGTCATCCGTGAGGCGCATGGCGGCCTGCAGCTTTATCCTCCTTCCTATCCTCCCTTTTCCTCCTGCTTCTCCTCCCTACTCCCTCCTTCCTCCTCTCCTCCCTCATCCCTCCTGCTTCCTCCCACTCCTTCTTCTCGTCCTCCTCCCCCCTCCCTCCTTCGCCCTCCTTCCTCCTCCTTCCACCTTCCTCCGCCCTCCTCATTTATCCTCCCTTTTCCTTCCTCCTCCTCCTCTTGCCCCTCCCTCCTTCTCCCTCCTCCTCCTCCTCCTCCTCCTCCTCCTCCTCCTCCTCCTCCTCCTCCTCCTCCTCCCTCTCCTCATCTTCCCCCTCCGGCTCCCTCCTCCTCCTCGTCCTCCTCCCTCTCCTCCTCCTCTTCCCCCTCCTCCTTTTCCTCCTCTTCCTCCTCTTCCCGCAGATTCCACATCCTCATGCTCCCTCCACCAGCCTCCCCCACGTCCTCCTCCTCCTCATCCTCCTCCTCCGCTTCCATCGCCTCCCTGTTGCACCCCGACGCGTATAGGTAGGGCGGGCCGGGCGTTTCGCTTGAGTCCTAATTCTTATGTTAACCAACATTTCAACAGCTTCACGGATGCAGGGCGGGCCGTTTTCAAAATGTGGTTCTCGCCTCAGCGCCGCCCACATTCGTTTAAGCAATGAACTTGGCGCGACCCCAATTAGGGGATATTGCATGGGCGCATCGTTGGGCGCATCGCTTGGCAGTGCTTGACATTGTTTGGTACTGCTTGGGGCAATCGGGGGCGGTGTCCCCGAGGAACTCGGGGAACCCGAGGAACCCGAGGAACCCAGGGAACCCGAGGAACCTCCAGGAATCGCGCAACGTAACAATAGGAGGCACCAGGGGCGTGGAACCCGAGGAACCCAAGGAACCTCCGAGCAACGGGCACGCTAACAATAGGAGGCACACACCTTTGACCAACTCAGAAGCCCTCAGGCAAGCCTACTTGGGAAGAAGGTGCAACTGTTTATCAGATTGAGGGCGGGCCGTTTTCATCAACATGTTGTCATCACCTTAACGCCGCGCACATTCGTTTGCAACATTTGCGGGGGCTTCGCGGATGGAGAACGGGCCGTTTGTTTTGTTTATGTGGTTATCGTCATAGCGCCGCGCACACTCGTCTTAGGAGTTGGCAGGAGTTTCACGAATGGGCGCGCTACCTTTGCAAAATGTGTTGCTTTATTCTAGTGCCGTGCACTTTCGTCTGAAGAGTTCAAAACAGCTTCACGGATGTAGGGTGGTACCTGTTCAACATGCGGTTTTGCCTTAGCGTCACGCGCGCTCATCTTAAGAGTATACAGCAGGGTCAGTCGTTCTTATGGCTGACGCCCCAGAAATGGCGTTCTGGTAAGATGTAGGACCGCCAGGGCTTAACGATTTATTTGGTTCGTTGGGGTCCCAGGAATGGCGTCTTGGCACAAATAAGGACCGTCCAGACGAATCCTTGTAAAGGCCTATGAGAGGGAAGTTGGGGGGATGGTGAATCCAACATCGTTGGAAAGTCTTGGGTTTACACTGCTCCTCCTTCTCCTCCTCCTCCTCCTCCTCCTCCACCTCGTTCCTCCTCCTGTTCCTCCTCCTCATCATCATCATCATCATCCTCATCCTCATCCTCATCCTCATCCTTATCCTCCTCCTCCTCCTCCTACTCCTACTCCTACTCCCCCTCCTCCTCCTCCTCCTCCTCCTCCTCCTCCTCCTCCTCCTAACCAAAACCAAGAAGCTGCACGGCATCTTCGCAGAAGCTCGACCTGAACTCTCGTGGCGTTGCCAACGGGCTCGCGGAACCATCACGGCGGAGGCGATGCCCGTCTGCGAGCTCAAGATCGGTGGCAACAGCACCGAGCCGACCCAGATCGCTTGGAACCCAGAGGCAGTCCCGCAGTTCGGCATCGACCACGAGCGCTACAAGGCACAGTTCGCCAACCGCTTCGCGGTCTCGGCTGGCCAGCTGGACACGAGAGGATGGCATCGTTGACGAGCGTTGGGCTCCATGGGAGATCGGCGCCCCTCGCCGATCTCAGGCTGGCCTGAACCGTTTCGCCACACCTGAACACATACGCCCGCATTATGACCATACTGTTTTGCTTCCTGGTCGGCTTCATCTCCTTTGAATCCACAACTTCGACATCTCGCGTACATCTCTGGATCTCATTGCAGACAAAGGGCATTATATTGCACAG